TTATGGACAACAAGCAAATGTGTGACCAACATGTGGAAGCGTTAACCAAAACCATAAAGTATCTAAATGGTCTGCAGGGAGGGTGAATCGGTCCACAAATGTCCCATTGAATCTGTTGTAGAAAAATGGAAGGATTTGAACGAATCATGTCATAAGAAAGCTCAGCAATAAGCTTTTCCATTGAACATGTTTGACATGCGATTCCTTGGATCAAACCTAAACTTCAGGTTAGTGGATACCTGTGTGATGATTTGAGGATACGGCACATCGTTATTTGTCCAGGATGTCCCAAATGATTATGCGAAAGTGTAATTTCGTGTGTGGTCCCAGTAGTAGGGCCAGCCACATAGTGGCATTCGATGTGGCGTATGGTCGAAGTATATAGACCACTCGGGATACGCTCCGTGTTCTCTAGAATACGCTTCTGGCCAAATTCGTATGAAGTTATGCACAAAAATTCGACTCCGTTTTCTATGTGGGTTTCAGCGTGGTAATTGTTATATCTAATGTCCTTGAAACTCAACAACGTTCTTCCGGAACGTGGAGAATAAAGTGCCTCAGCAATGGTCAAGATAGTACCATTGGACAACATTATACGTGCCTTACCGTATCCTTCTATCAGGTTGGATGGGCCTGAGAGGGTTGTCAGATGTGCATTCTTAGGTATGAAGTTAGTGAAATAAATGCGTTCACGTAAAACTGTGTGCGTGATTGCACTATTTGCCAGACAACTAACTTTCCCTCTAGTCATACCTAGAATGAAAAATTAATTTGAATCGGTCACATGCATAAAAGTTCATAAAAACAAACATAAATTCAAAATAATTTCATTTATTCAAGGATTAAAATTTAATATCCAAAAACAAATCACCAACTAATAATCCAAACATAAAGGAAAAATGTTCAAAAATCAACCAAAAACAAAATAGGGGTTCAGCCATATAGTGGAATTTGGGCCCAATTGTCTTATTTCAACTAAAAGATATGTCTATGTCTAAGATTCTAATCTTCCATAGGGGTGGTATCCATCTAAAAGTCAGAAACCTCTATCTTTGTAGTCTCTGGTTCGTCCACTTGCACAAAGTTTGATTCAAACTTCTTATGATGAGAATGATATTCATCTACAACCTTCTTGGGAGCTCAGAAAACAAGGGACCAATGGTCATTTAAACCACAACGATAACACATATTTGCGTCCCTTGTTTCAGGTGCTTTGCCTGTATTCTTGAAGTTCGGGGCCTTGGGAGCGAGGTTTGGGTTCTTCTGGGCTTTGTTTCCTTCCTTGGATAGGCCTTGACTCTGTTGATCTTGGTGGGATGACTTCTGGCCGCCCCTACCACACCTCTTTTGGCGTTTTGGGCATTGGTTAGTGATATAGTGTGCTTCAGGCACAACAGTCGCCCTAGTAGGTCGAGCTTGGTGATTCTTCATTAACAGTTGGTTCTGCTTTTCAGCGAAAAGTAGAACAGAGATCAAATTCGAGAACTTAGTGAGCCTCTAAGCTCTATATTGTTGCTATATGACAATATGAAAAGCAGAGATGGTTAAATAGGTCTTCTCCAGGAAATCCTCTTCAGTCAAAGTTTCGTTACAAAACTTGAGAAGTGATCGGATTCGACAAACTTCAGAATTATATTCATTCACAGACTTAAAGTCTTGGAAGCACAAGTGCTGCCAGTCGTGTATTGCTTCAGGCAAGAATATGTCATTTTGGTGATCAAAACGATCAGCCAAAGCGACCCAGCGTACACGTGGATCCTCCTCAGCAAGATATTCAGTTTGCAAAGCATCATGGATATGTCTTCGGATGAAGATCATAGCAGTGGCTTTTTCAGCTTCGTCAATAGGGTTGTCTATCTTTTCTTCAATAGTGGGACGCAAACATCTTGGACCCACTTGAGGTAATTCCTTCCAAAGACCTCAAAAGCGGTGAAGTCGAGTTTGTTCACATTCGACATGTTCCTATAACAAAATAGATGGACAAGATGTGGTTAGTATAATGGAGAAAAATCAATCCATTCACATATGAGTAGAACATACAGGTTCTAATAGACATGTATTGGTTTAATTTTGCATGAAAAAACTTTGGGTTTTCATGGGTGATGTTTTTAAATGGAAAATTCGAGTTTCAAAATAATTATGAACTTTAGGTTCATAAATTCCTGCAGGCAAACACAAATATATACACAGAAAAATGCAACAAGAATATGCAAAAAAATAGGATCTTTAGGTCTATAATTATAATTGAATTTAATTATTTAGACTTCGGGCCAAATTAAAGTGTGGGTGAAAAAAATATAAAACCCAAATTATTTAAAAATATTAAATAATCGAAGCTCGGGGCCTAAAATATAGGCCAAAGCCCACGGGTGGGTTGAGCAATTTTGATCCATGTCCTAGGCCCAAAAATTGGGTTGAGGGTCTCGAGTGTAAGGTGCAAGCCTACAGGGAGGACGGGACAAGGGGGTTGGGTTGCTGTTGGCAAGCCCAGAGGATTTAAAAAAATTATTTTCATACGGGCCGTTTCAGGCGAGCCCAAAACATGTGTTTTGTTTTCATTTTTTTTTCTTTGTAGGCCGGGGAAAATTTGGGCCAAAAGAAATGTTAAGGGCTGCAAGATGCAGGCCCAAAACTGATTGAGGTTTGAGGGTTAGGCCGAGAAGGGGCCCAAAGGGCTGTTGTCATACATCCCAGCCATGCTGGGTGTGTGCATCGGAGAAGAATGCCGGGGTTTTACTCAACGGTGCTGAGTCGGGCAGTGTTTCAAGGTTGGGCAAGCCATGGTTCGTCGAAAAACCAGGTGTTTATCGACAGAGAAGAGATCTTGACGTGGAAGGAGAGAGAATCGAATGAAATCAATTGAATTCGAACGAAAAACCCATGAAATTCTTCTGGAATTTCTAGAAATTATTGGTGACAACGATGGGTTTTGTCCAATTTGCACGACTGCCGGTCGTGTTTCGTTGGAAAAGTCAACGAGGATGACCTGGGCTTTAGGTCGTGGGTCAGGACAAGGTGCTTCAAACGCACCGTTCTGGTTTAAGCTTGCGGCTAGGATTCAATGTTTAGGCTGGGCCATCGTAGGCTGCTGGCCTAGTGGCTTGCGGCTTGCATGGTGCAAGTTCATGGGTTTGAAGAACCCTAGGTTTACCCATTTTTTTCAATTTTTTTCAATTCAATTTAATTATATGCATATTCAAATTAGTAATATTTTAATTCAATTTATATATAATTCAATTGGATGCATATGCAATTCAATAATTTGATGCAATTCATAACCAATATCAAATTCACATAATTTAACAATTATGATTATGAGGCATACACAATTTATGTAGAATCTAAAATTCGTAAAACGTAAAGTTGGGTCATGCATCATGGTGAATGTTCATACTATTAGGGTTGCAAAAATATCGAGATAAAAACCATTATTTTGAAAGAACCTGATTGTGTGATGATATGGATGAGCTGGTTTGATACATAAAAAATTTTCAATGTTAGATTCCTAAGCGCAGTGGTAGGAGCATGCTGATAACGTGTTGTGGTCTATTTTATCTGACAAGGTTAAAGGGGGGCCGGCGACAGAAGGAGAGAGATTGAGAGATATGTGTTTGTAGAATTGTAGGGGAATGTGTGTTGTTATCCCTTCTCCATTGTGCCTTTATTTATAGTAGTAAAAGGAGAGAAGATATTCCTTCTTCCCCAAGTAATACAAGTTGTAATACAAAAGGATAACTAGAATCAAATCTAATCTAGGATTTACACAATCACACTTAAATTAGGAATGTTTACAACAACATTGAAATTGTTAATGAGTTTTGGTTTATATGTTGAATATAGTACGTTAGTAGGTTGTGTTTGAGGTTAGCATATATAGTTTCACACGACACAAATATAACACAACATAAACACAATAAAACGCAACAGCTTGCTATATGTAGCGCTGGCTACAACAATTCTTCATACAATGCACCAAAGCAAAGTCTGGATTCCTTAACAATTCTAATCAAGAACCGTGGAATGAAGGTAATGAATGATATTTGATTGAACACATATATTACCACACTAGTGTACAATTGTGGGGAACTTTTAAATGAGACAATGAGATGCAACTACTTGTGCTGAAGTAGTTCAACTTCTTTAAAACTCCCACGATCGGCAGCTATTGAGCCCACGATTTTTTTGACAAACATCACAAAACGCTCTCGTGTCTATATTGAAAGTATATATGGAAAGTATGTATAAAAGTTTGAGTGAAAATTAAACATTATATGCTTAGCCCATTAAGTTACAAACATCTTAATGATATTATCTACACTAAGGGGAGTGACTTAGCCTTATAATGGGCTAGCAATAATATAGTTCAAATTCGTTTTTGACGAGAATCGAATCTAAAACCTCACTTACAAGTGAAAATGAATACCACTAGACCGTAATACTAAGTAGAACAAACATTTTATTTTAAAAATATAAATTATAACGTTATTTCATAGCGCTCCCATATACAAACACAAAATAACTTTTGACACTGCTGTAACATGTATACAAAGAGGGAGAGAGAGGGTGGTGTTGCTTTTTAACCAATTAGTTCTTTGTCTAAGAATATTTATCTATGTCAATTAAGATACACGTGATATTGGAGGAGGAGGAAATGAACATATGATTTTGGGTGCAGAAGTATATGGTTTTGAGCTGCAACTACTTGCTGAGTGGTCTCAAGTTTAAATAGTCACTGAATAAGAAGATAAAAATAGTCTTTTTTTTTTTTTTTTTTTTTTTGCTAAGTTTTAACTTTTTACGGAGAATGGTCTAACTTAATTACTCTCACATCACATGACCAACAATTAAGTTGATAGTGATTATCCACCAGTATACCTATCTAAAGGCCCCAGAGTTTAACAAACGCCAACTGCCCTCCTCCCTCCCTTCTCTCTCTCTCTCTCTCCCTCTCTCTCTCTCTCTCTCTCTCTCTCTCTCTCTCTCTCTGTGTTCAAACACACACACACACACACACATTACATCTAGCAGATTAAGACCGACAGTTGCTGAAATAAAAGAGGTCCAAAAACCCAAATATTTAGCAATTTTTATATAGTTCATGCATGCATTCTTTTTAGGTCTATAAATTAGCCGAGCTAATTGCTTGCTTGCCAGCTTGCTAGCTTCTATATATTTGATCACATCTTATGCATTTCTTGAATCTTTTTTGGTCCAGTGCTTCATTTTCTGTACACATGACTGGCTTTGTGAGCTTTGTTTTCAGTACTTCCAGCCGCTGATATCGTTGCCTTGAAACTTATATAAGGAAGGCAGGCACTAGGGTTTGTAAAGGAAGGAAGGAATTAGGGTTTGCAAAGCAATTAACCCGGCCATAACATCTACACACAAAACCTCTGTGTACTTGTTTGAAAGTACGTGGGATATATATATCTTGATATTATAAAAAATGGGTTTTGTGTGGTGGAGATTGTTTGTTGCTGCAGTTGTTGTAATTCTTTTCTTTCATGGTTTTTCTAGCGCTGAAAGAGGTAACACTTGATCTTCTCGCTCCTTCTTCCTTTTCTTTTTTGTTTTTTGTGAATATGTTGAAATTAATTAAGAAATTTGTTTGCATGAAATGAGAGCAGTGAGATATATCTGCGTTTGTGATGACTGTGATAAGAAAGATCCATAAGACTCATTCTGCTACTGCTTGCATAATGCAAACTTGTGGTAGACATAAGTTAGAGGTTAGTTGATTACAATAGTGTGTCACCTCTTTGTACTCGAGTATGAATCTACCTCCCGCAAAAAATTGAAGTAGTTTAAAACGTCATATTGTACTGTGAATCTGAAAAATTATAAGATCATGAGCCACCTATAGCAGCAATCCAAAGGCAGCATAAGCTAAATTAATTTTTAGTTTCATTAGCCCTAGATGTACCAACTTCCAACTATATATTATACTGACCTTTATATTATTAGTGTCTTTTACACTTTGTAGTGAATGAGTGGGGACCTGATCCATCTACCATGCATACAGTGAGAAGAAATAAAGGCATAAACCTAAAAATGTTGCCTGCATTTATTTGCTTAGAAAAGTGTAGTTTGATATATGTGTATTATGTGACACGTATGAAGCTCCACTAATCTAATAATGACAAAGTTAGCCCTATTTCCATTAATTTACATAAGATGTGTAATCTATATACTTATATTCTTCTCTAATTTACAGCCCCAAACTTCACCTTCATGCATAGCGCAACAACAGCTCCCGACATATCATACTATGACTACATTATAGTGGGTGGTGGCACTGCTGGCTGCCCCTTGGCCGCCAGTCTTTCCCAAAATTACAGCGTTTTGCTACTTGAACGCGGCGGCTCTCCCTATGGCAACCCCAACATTACAAATTTGTCTACCTTTGGCAGTGCACTCTCTGATCTCTCCCCTGCCTCCCCTTCCCAGCGCTTCATCTCTGAGGATGGTGTCATTAACGCCCGCGCCCGTGTGCTAGGTGGCGGGAGCTGTCTCAATGCCGGTTTTTACACTCGCGCTCCCCCTGACTACATTAGGTATATATTTGTTTATAATATCTACATAGGTGTAATTAATGTTTACTTGTTGTCACACATTGTTAATTGTCGAATATCAATCTATACCTTGTTTAAAAAATATATATATGAGGATTTATATACAAGCTTCTTATTTGCAGTAAAAAGTAAACTAATTGAACACAATATATTTTGTGATAAAAAAAGAATTGGTTAGTTCAAGTGACAAAGAATGGTAGAATAATGAATTAGGATTAGGACATGTCAAAGGTTCAATTTCCTTGTTAGTATTATGACACGAATTTTCAACATTGACATGATATATATATCATCACGTGACTTATACGTAGTTATGTTCATTCAACATATATAATCACTAATGAGTAAAAGTATGATTAAGAATTATGCTTCTGCAATTAGGGAAGCTGCATGGGACGGGAGATTAGTTAACGAATCATACCAATGGGTAGAGCACCTTGTGGCGTTTCGGCCGCCAATTCAGGCATGGCAATCGGCGGTGCGCAATGGTTTGATGGAAGCTGGGGTGATGCCTTACAATGGGTTCACTTATGACCATATCTACGGGACGAAGGTTGGAGGAACCATTTTTGATCTGGAGGGACATAGACACACTGCTGCTGATTTATTAGAGTACGCTAACCCCACTGGACTTACTGTGCTCTTGCATGCTGCTGTGCATAAGATCTTGTTTAGAACCAAAGGTTTGTGATGTTCGAATCTTCTAAACTCATCTTTTATTCATGAACAAATCATATTCTAACCCTTATGAGATTGATGGTGATGGTGGCTCTTTACAAGTAATTATGAGTTTCCCTCTTTGTTTATAAAGTAAAGTTATATATACTTTGTAGACACGATTCGTTAAAAAATTACATAAAAATTAAGTTTTTGCATGTTCACGTATTAAAATATAAATTAACGTGATAAAAAAAAAGTTTTTTTGTTGAAAAGAAATGATTGATGTATTCACACATAGATTACGATGTAACCTAATTCCATGTTTCTAATTTCAGGAATTTTATCATCCAACGAATATATTATTTCTTCGTATCTCTCTTATCATATGATAGAGAGATATAAATAAAGAGATATATCCGTAATTGCATCCAAAATTTTCTTCCACCTTAGCTTACATATCAACTTAATTATGATTACGACATGACATTGATATGGCTCTAGAACATTTTTTTTATATATAGTTTTAATTAATGATAAGGACAAAATAAAGGGTAAAGTGAATAGTATCAGGATTGACTTTTTAGTGTAAAAATGTGGTTTTTCGTTAAAGTAAACAGTACCGGGTGCTTTTCGTTAAAATTATCTAATATAAAAGGATTATTTCCAAAAGACCCTATGATCATTTTAATATATTTTTTGTCCTGTGATATTTAAACAGGAAAATCAAGGCCACTGGCCCATGGGGTGACGTTCAGAGACTCCTCAGGGACCAAGCACAGAGCCTATCTAAAACGGGTCCAAAAACGAGATCATTATATCATCTGGTGCGCTCGGAAGCCCACAGCTTCTGATGCTGAGTGGAGTGGGCCCAGCAGAACAACTTAAGGCCCACAACATCACAGTGGTGGTGGACCAGCCCATGGTTGGGCAAGGCATGTCTGACAACCCCATGAATGCAATTTTTGTGCCCTCCCCAATCCCTGTGGAGGTCTCACTGATTCAGGTGGTAGGGATCACCCACTTTGGAAGCTACATTGAAGCTGCCAGTGGTGAAAACTTTGCTGGCGGTTCTACTACCAAAGACTTTGGAATGTTCTCTCCCAAGGTATCCCTTTAATTGAGGCCAATAAATGGTTCTAAAAAAGAATTTGATCACCACACCCAATTATATTTAATTCAAACTTTACTCCCCCTTTTTTTTTTTTGTCAAACGATAGGTTTTATTAGATTAGCCACCGATATGGTTTGAACCCACTTCGTTATGCAAGGGCTCAACACATTTTTACCATTGTGGTAAAGGGCCACTTGCAACTTAATTTACTCCTAAAAAGACATCAAATTACTAAAATGACTAAAAGATATGTAGTTTGTTCCATCGTTATAGTTCATTTTAGTCTCTATTCTATTAGAGGAAGTTATGAATTCATATTTCGTAGATAAAAGTTTGATCTGTTGTTGAGTCGACTGTGAGATGGGGAGTCCCTCATCTAGACGCTAGTCAACCATGGTCGGCTCTCTTGTTTTTAGTTTTTCTATGACTTGATTATCGTTTCAACAGAAATTATCTACAACTTTGATCTCATTTATAGACATGTTTTGTTTAGTTATCTAGGGTATATGATGGTCGTTTAGAGCTTCGTTTTAGGGTTTAAATATCCAATTTGGGATTAAACCCTCATGTTTAAGCTTAGTGATAGTACAACTAATAATAAAATTTATACTTGTAATTGTGGATTAATTTTGTTCATATTTTGCAGATTGGTCAGCTCTCCACAGTGCCACCAAAGCAAAGGACCCCAGAAGCCCTAGCCGAAGCTGTAAGATACATGGACAGTCTTGAAGACGCAGCCTTCAAAGGAGGGTTCATTCTTGAGAAAGTCATGGGTCCAATTTCCACAGGCCACATGGAGCTCCGGACCCGAAACCCGAACGACAACCCGGCGGTCACATTCAACTACTTCAAAGAGCCCCAAGACTTGGAGAGATGTGTCCAAGGCATTGAAACCATTGAGAAAATAATAGAATCAAAGGCCTTCTCTAAGTTCAGATACGAGGGTATGTCAATAGCAGCTCTGCTGAACGCTACTGCAAGTAGCCCTGTAAATTTGTTGCCTAAACATGCCAATGCGTCAAGGTCTTTGGATCAGTTTTGCAAGGACACTGTCATGACCATATGGCATTACCATGGAGGATGCCAAGTTGGTAGGGTTGTTGACCATGATTACAAGGTTCTTGGTGTCGATGCTCTTCGAGTTATTGACGGTTCGACGTTTAATTATTCCCCCGGAACCAATCCTCAAGCCACTGTTATGATGCTTGGAAGGTACGTATGTAATGTTAAGTTAATACGTCATTCTGATGCAAGTTATACATTAGGGAATGGGAAATTAAATTATGGACCTCAAGTGTAAGGAATGAATGCTCTTATTAACTGCGATACAGGCTTTGGACAGTTTTAATTAAGGGAGTTTTAACGAAAAGCCCACGGTACTGTTCATTTTAATGAAAAACCACATTTTTACACTAAAAAGTCAAACCTGGTACTATTCACTTTACTCTTTATTTTGTCCTTATCATTAAAACTCAAAGTTTTCAAGTCATTTTCATTATTTTTCCTTTTAATTAATCCATAGTTGACTCGTAATTAGGTTACTCAAAATTTAATATTAGTTATATGTCATGGATATGTCACGTTGATGTTTAATGGTCTGTTATGATTTGTGATGGTGCAGGTACATGGGAAAAACAATATTGGATGAGAGGCTTGCTAGTGATGTATCAAATTAAGTAATTTATTATGTCTGATTGTATGAGTGCAAAGATTTGATCTTCTACTATGTATAACTACCCTGCTAAAATGATTGCAGAGATGGATGAGAGGAGTATGTATTAGGTTATATATTTCTTTAAACATACAATGAAACATTTCCTCCCCAAAATAATACTATTAGAATGATTCTCTTTTTTCAAAAAGGGTATTGTAGGATAATATCTATTAGTGCATATCGATCATAATTGGCAGCTTTCTAGCCTAAATTTTTGTGTACGATGAGTCTTAGATGTTAGGATTGGTTCTACTCAAGCTATCGAAGATCAAACCCAACTGATGATCATTGTTCTACGGTAACTAAGTCACAATCTCAAGTTTAGGATGGTAAGACTTAGAGACCTACATATACTCTTAAGTAGTTTAGATGCATACAAATGTATTTTTTTTTCTGCGTGTGTATGTTTGAAGTGTCATTTTGAGTCTTACTTGAATTAAGTTAATCAATATTAGATTTCCTTTTACGACGTAGATTTTAGTCGTGGGTTAACATAAGTGGTTGGTCTTTGTTTATTTCATTTAGAGCAGTTCCACTCTTAAAAAAATACGTCAGCACCCAACCCATTTAATCCACTCAGTGAACAGTGATAAACACCAATGAGCAGTAATAGGCCAAATGCATCTCCACCCTTAAAACTAAATAGCCTAGTTAATTTTATTAAAATATTATTAATTTTTATTATAAAATAATAATTTGACGTTTATTTTCTAACTCGGTTTCTCTCTCTGTTTCTCTTTCTCCGTTTCTTTCTCTCTCTCTCTCTCTCTCACTCGGCTCAGTCTCTCAGTCTCTTTCTCCCTTGTCCGACTGTTGCATCTGCATTGCACATGCTTTTACCTCAAGGTCAAGGTAAGAAACTGCACCTTCCTATTTGAATTGGGATTAGGGGGTTGGGATTTCGAATTCAAAATCAAAGGTAAAGTTAAGGATTGTGATTTTGAATTCGAAATGGGATTAGGGATTCTAAATTGGCATTAATCAGTATATGTTATCAGTTTCAATTGGCATAGGTTTTGGCAATTTTTCAGTCGTTCATTCATCCCTTAATTATGGGATATGCTTGTACATCATGCATGCTTTCCCAAATGCTTTCGATTCGGTTTTCAAATGGCCCTTTCATTAGAAACACAATCACATAACCAGCTCCCGTCCTTCTCCCTCCGTGGCTCCTTCCCTCCCGACACCCTCTCCCACCTCGACCAGCTTTGCTCCTCAGCCTCCACAACAACTCCCTTTTTGGCGCAAAAAAAAAATAAAAAAATAAATAAATAAAGGTGGTTGATGTCATGTAAGTCGGGCCATGGCTTTGTCGATTCTGGACTGGCCTGGAAACTAGCTTGGGCTGGGTGATAGCCTATCTGCTGGGCTGGAGTGGATTGGCTGGGTGCCGGCCTAAAGAGTCCCCAGTGGAACTGCTCTTAAGGCTTTCAAAATAAAGCCCATTAGACTTGACATTATGTGATAGGGTTTTGTAAAGATTCATTATAGATATGTTGACTTGTATTGCCGTAGAAGATACACACAAATAAACAAACATACAAGATGGGAAATATTGAGAAACTCACATATCATGTCGTAGAAGATATGGTCCTTGTTTGAGATCTTTCTAGTGTTTCGTCACAATTCCATATATATAGATTGTGTGTGGAAGATCATGTGGAGAAGAATCGTGAAGCGAGATTTCCGTTATGGTGAAAGATGACACATTAGTGTAACTTGTCACACCCCAATCTGGAGATACACCCAAAATTGACACGTGACAATAAAACATTATTTGTACAAAATATATTACATAGAATCATTGAGACTTAATCATACATACAATATACATCAAAACTCAGCGAAATATTTTACAATAAAAGGTAATCATCCCTACTCTCATGACCATTGTTCACACCAGTCACACAACTTAAAATCCTCTTCTCTAACTACTACCTATTACTTCACTAAACAACCCTAGGTTGTGGAAATGGTGCACCAAGCAAAGCAAAACTCGGATAAACTGTGAAGCTTGTATGAGTGACAATAATAAGAAACATTTGAAAGTAAAATCAAATTATCAGAATATAAAAGTACTGATTGCGCTCACATAGGACTTTTCTCTGAATAATTGATCACTCTATCACTTTGATCATTATCATTGATTCATTATCATTCCATCATTCTTCTTCGCATTGTGACTCACCACTCACCTTTCATCATTTTTTGAACAATCACAAAGATCCAATCGCCACTTACTTTATAATTTAATCACCGTACGCCTCATTACATACGTATATGAATGATTCTTCAATTCCGTATTTCACCAAACGTCTTTCGAGATAATAATTATTCATCACGTAAGAATGACACACCATCATAAGTACATTCACGTGTAGGAATGAGATCGGTATCTCTTTCATCATTGCATCTCTTTTTGTATCAAGTAGGAATGACTCACATCTAAATCCGTTCACTTTAGATACACTATCATGTAAATTGTTTTCAATCGTCTCTTTTTAGATTGAGCCACATATGTCTTTAGTCTCTTTTTTCATATGTGTAAAACCATTCTAGGGTTATAGAGAGACACAGTTTTGCCAAAGCCTACAATAGGTAACCAAATCAAAAGTGGAAGTGGTCCCCCAATATGGACCAACCAAGCAGAACACTCATGAGTGCAATGGTAAATAGTGATCACCCATTGAAGATTAACCAAGCATTATCACTTCTAAAGTACAAATGACCATACATAAGTAATAAGGATCACACATAGCGGATTAATCAAACACAATCCTTGGGTTGCCCAATGTGCATTAACCAAGCACAACCCTTATATAATATAGTCCCCTAATGCGGATTAGCCAAGAAGGACCATCCACGTACCACACACATATGGTGCAAACTCAACACCATATCACCCCATAGGTCTGGGTTAGCGATCCTCTATAAGCGCTCGCATTTCATAATTATTTGAAACATAGCATAAGTATACAGTAGCACACATTTTCTATAAAATCATTTGTAAATCTATGTTATATCCACATAGTATATAACAAGAGAGTTTCCATTGTAATAACCAAGGTTCTAAAAAGTGCTAGGCACTAGTCGGGCAACAAGGAGGGGAGCCTAGGCGATTTTTTTAGTTTCAACTGAATTTATTATATGACATATATATAAATGCCTACTTATACTTAAAGAACATAATTGTATTAGGATACATAAGTTTCAAAATATAATGACCTATATAAAGTATTAGAACATATTGAAAACATGAGGAACAAACATATAATGAGTGTTCATCCAAGTATTCAACAAGTCTCTTCTAATTTATTGGAAAAATAAAATGCAAAATGAAAGTTATCTATTTTCTGTCTAAGTGAGAGTTGCAACCTAGGTGGGTGCCTATGTAGGGGATTAATCGGGCTGGTGGCCAGCTGCCTAGTGCCTAGGGGGGCCTAAGTGGCAGTAACATATCATATAATATTAAAGTCACTCACCTAGAGTATGCGCTATAGCACCCCTAATACATGATCGAAGTGCTCAAATACGATTAACGCCTATAAACAAACACTAGTCTCGTCTTAGAACTCCATAGACAAATAATACATAATTCTAGGAAAACTGAGGTGCATATCATCCGAGATGGAACGTCATAGACCCACTAAGTCTTAACAGATCTCTAATCATTCTACTAGCATGCTTAAGCAGTTTCATGTCAATCCAACGATCGAATCTGCGCTAATCACAAAAGTCAAGTGCACGATCAATTATGAAACTATGCTCAAATGATGAAATCTTGCCAAACGAACAATGAAAATGAAATCAGGGCATAAAATTTCGCTAACGAAAACAAGCTACGTCATCGAGTAATGCGTCATCGCACATGGCAGCACATATATTGCCAGAATCAAGCCAACTCCAAAATATACCAAAACATAAATCTCAGCATAAGGATGAGATGTTTTACCTCCACCAGAGTCAAGATATGGACGAAAAATAGTGAAATTTGCCGTAAAAGGTCTAAGTGGCAGAAAAACTTATGAAGTCGTCGCTACCCTAACACCCAATCCAAAAATAAGGTTTTGTTGCCCAAATTGAGTTAAGTGTACTAGTGGTGGTGTGCGACGTTGGGTGGTCGGAAATGGAAGATTGTTGGTGAGGAAGTTGAATCAAAATGGCAAGCTTCAAACCACCTTCTGTTATGGTTAAACGAGGATAACTTTGGGTGGAAAGTGGTCATGGTGAGGATAGAATTCGTTTCCAGGTGGTGACAAAGATCGTTACAGCAAAAAATTGTAGGAAACAGTGTCGAAAAACTCACCTAGTAACTGGTTAGATCGTGGGTTGATAAGGGTAAACGGGTCAACCCCTAGGCTAGGTTTCTAAATGAGGAAATGCTGCTCAAACTTTCTGGGACCTTCCATAAATATGAGGTGTCGAATGAAAAAAAGTGACCCTAACTTTAGTGGCTCGTAATTTTCCTTTAAAGTTATGTTTCGCCAACGTTTTCTTCTACGCATTCGTGTGATTGAGCTCTATCTAACTAACTCAAGAGTTGACCAAAACAGTTAAATAAAATTCGAAATGACCAAAATACCTCTAATTTCACTTTTTCTCAATACCGGAGAATTTAACTAACTTCAATCAAATTTCTAAAATACTTCAATAACGAAATATACCACTAAAATTCAAGCCAAGATATCACATAATTCATTAGGTGTCTTCGAGGGTGTCCTTGTTTGCTAGCCTAAGATTGCGTTATGGTGCTTGCGTAAGTTTATTGGGTGAGTCTTGTAAAGTTACTTTTCTCATATTGGATTTGATTAATTGGTTGTGTGCCTGATGATGTTTCTGCATGGAGTTTTACCTCATCAAATCCTTGTGTTTTGTGATTTATTTTTATGCAATTTATTTATCTGCACAACAGGATTGATATTTGCTTTGAATCTTGCAGTCTGATTGTTATTTGCATTCGCTCATTGACATGCCCCGATCCCAATATCCCTAATACCAGGATAGGTATGTGCTGGCCAACACCCGAGGGTGACGAAGCCATTTTTAATCATGCATACAAAGAAAAATAGGTAATTAGAAAGGAATGTATCAACACGGAAACATGTTTAGAGCATACAACTAATAAAAATAATGTGAAAGAATTACAAT